CACGTCAAAAATGCACTAAATCACCAGTTTCCACTTTTAAAACACTATAAAACGTTTCCGGTTATTATTTTATGTAAACCAAATCATTTATTCACTTTTATTTTATATATTTCGTTAATAAAACAGAGTAAACAAACTTTGCGCCTGCTAAAATTATTATAACCTCAAATCGCTGGTATTGCCACTTTATTTCACATTTCATTTGCGCTATTATACTCAGTTTACACTATACACATCTTCTTCTTCTTTTTACTTTCATCTAAATAAGATATTGTAAGCAAAATATAATAGCAAATTTCGCTATACCATCGCGCGGGTTTTTATTAAAAATTTTCATTATTTATCGAGGTATTGATTTTTATGGAAAAAGCGCCGCAGGCGAAAATTTTTAATAAAAAATCGCGCGATTTTTTATTAAAAATTTTCATTATTTATCGATTATATTTTGGTTACGGACTAGTCAGAAATAGTCAGAATCGGTCAAATTTTACTGGAAATCGATCCCGTACTCGGTTCTCTGACTATTGAATTTGAAAGTATTTTTGGTTATTTACATGTGTGAGCTGAGTGTGGTAACATACAAAATAAGCAAAAATTTGCAACCAAGATTTGGAAGTTATGTTGAAGTTGACAGACGTTACCATTTTTTACTAGAAAGCGATCCCGTACTTTTCAATGTTACTCTCTCGCTCTGAGCGAATTTTTATTTTTTGACAGTTTTACTTCTCTACCAGAAATCTCACTGGCAAATAACCGGTCCCTTGACGGTCAGTGCTGATGCAATAATGCTGCAAAAAAGTCCTTTTCTTGTAGGGTAGATATGATTAGAAAGGAAGGTTACTCATACGCCGTGTATCATACATGGTCGTAGACACTCATGAGTTTTCTTGAAAATTTTTACACTTTTTCAGATTTATAGATTCTGAGTTTGTTATGAACATAACAAAACGTTGCAAATGTCATAATATTTTGTTTTTGCATACACCAGGATATTTAGATTAAATCTGTGTTCGTATGGAATAGTAGCTTATGTCGGGAAGCTAGCTTTAGTATAACGCGACATTCTCTTTATTCTTTAAACGACAAGAAATTCTTTGATGAGACTTAATAAGAACACTGACTTGCTAGTATTGAACTATTTCTGCATGTTTATTTCCAAAAGTTCTGCTAGGGCTCGGCGCCAGTGAGTCATTCACAATCGAATGCTGCGAATGCCGCATTATACTAAAGCCAGCCTTTCGACATACGCTACTGTTCCATACGAACACAGAGATAAGCTAATTGTTTTAAACAAGGCGTATTTAACAAGGTGGTGTTGGCCGTATATAAGTAAAAAATTACACTAACAAATTATACGCTGATGTCCATACTGTCATTAGTATGAATTACACAAACACATCATTTTGACGTAATGGCCTCCACGGTGAAAAACTCAGCTGTCGCCCCAACACCACCTTGTTTAATACAAGCTCCCCCAAGCGACTGCGATAAAATGGCAAAGTATCAGGGCGATAGGTGTGTGTTCCTAAATCATCTATACTAGAAATTGCACTAGGTCTAGCATATGAGAATACATGTTCTTACAGTGTCTTGGACGCTTCTAGCAGAAAATATCTTAACTTGGCTAATCAATACAGGTGCTAAGTAGATTTTCCATGGTCAGAGAAGCCTGAGAAGGTTAAACTTGACGGGCGCATAATAGGATTTTCTCGAAGACTGGACTGGCTTTAGCAAAGAAACTGCGATAAGTACCTATATTCTATTTCATATACCTGTAAAGGCTGTGTTGTACGAAATCGTGCCTCAGGTAACCAGTTACGGTGCTGGCTGGATTTGCCTGACGAAGAGTTTCCTTAAGGCACAGTCTTATATTTTACATTAGGGACTGTATAAGAACTCTGATTGATACTTCTACAGTTCATTGGGCGGAAGCTTTCCAGAATCACTGGACAGTGGCTGCATAGAGCGAGCGTTACCTACACGTCTAGCGCCTCGATAGTTTTCTTTGTCCGAAACTAGACGGAATAAAGCAAGTATGACCAGCGCTTTTCCAAAATCGGGATTTATTTCCGGCTGGGATGCTATACGTGGTAAAAAAAAATTGTCAGATGGTAAAGAAACATAGAATAGTCGGGAAAATTTGTGTATAAAAAAAAATGGTCGAAACGCATACTAAATCTTTATGCGATCAAACATTTGTGAAACATTTCGGTTTGGTTAATGGTTCAGTTAATTAGTGGGAAAGAGCGATTTATCCGGTTCGAAATCGGTGCACTTCTCTGCTTTCCAGACAGCGTAAAAAGTCGCCGGGTAAATAGGCTCGGTGTTATTTTGATTCTAAAATCCATGAATCAAAAATTTAAAGGTAAATCCGCTGAGCGGCAGCCTATTTATTTAAAGTCTCTGTTTGAAAGAAAAAAAAAAACAGTTTTTATGGTTTAATTATTTATTATTTCTATTTACACTTTTT